TTCGTTTATTGACGCTTGCTCTATTATTGACCCTTCTTGTAGTACGTTTGTTAGTTTTATTCTTGTTTAATACTTCACTTCCGAGTTAGAAGAAGCAATTTCTTAGATTTCATCGTTGTCACGACGATTGTTGTCATCACAAGAATCGATATCGATTGTGCATTCCGCCGCTTTTTTATCTTTGTATTCTTCCGGCTCTTCACTCACAACGTCGATATTATCAACTGTACAAGATAGATTTTTTGTTGCAAGCAGCGTTTTAGCAATTTCATTGATTTTTGTTGTTTTTGGGGAAACTTCTGGTTTTTTTGTCTTGGCGGGAGATGTCTGTGATTGAGAACCTTTTGTTGAAGACGCTTTTAAAGCGGCAATCTTTTTTTGTATGGAATTTGTCGCCTTCGGTTTGTTAGTATTATTATCCTGCTTTTCGATTTTCCACGGAACCGAAATTATTTTCGATCTTTGTGTTGATGAAGTGAAATTCTAAAATTTCACAGTACGGCTGACTATTAACAAAGTATAAAAGTCCCGTTGTATGTATGAGCGAATTTTTTTTGTTTTTTCTAAAGCATTTCTAAATCTTCCTTGGGGATTGTGGGTTAACGTTATGTCAAAAGGTCCGCCTTGTGCACTGCTCAGATAGGGTTTAACTTGAATTGGAAGTGTATATCCTGTTTCGTTAATACTAGGAAGCTGCATAGTTCTACCAAGCAAATGTACGATTGGTTGACCGACCGAAATGGCATCCGCGTCTAATTTTAAACGTTTGCTCGTTGTTATTATGATATCTATAATGTCGTCTTCCACCAGCGCAAATTTTCCAGTTATATGATAAGCATAATCTTGCTTGAGTTCTTGAAGAGGTTCACCGTTATTATCGGAATCAGAATCATCGGAATTGGTATCACTTATTGGTAAATATTGGCAAAATTAAAACGTTTGGAAATTTCCAGTATTGTCTAATTTCGAAATAACTTTACCCTTTTGAATAATTTTTTTATTTACGGGTTCAGATTTTACGAAAGCAATATAAACTATGTCAGATAAGGATGCAATCATTTTTGGTAATTTTTTGTTTTTGCTTTAAAAAAATAAACCAAAACTCGATTTTGAGATAAGAAGTAAAGTCTTTGTATTTATGTTCCTTTGTGTGTGTTATTCAGAAAAAAAAGGGTGTTCAGTAGCTGAATTTCTCTGAGAGTAAGGCATGTTCCGGGTCTTTTTATATCAAATCGTTAATAGCTCTCTTTAGTTTTATTTATTATTACGAATAACCAATTATACTTTAGTTATATTATTACATAATAATAAATTTATTTATTATCAATAACAATTTTCCACACAAATAATATTTTTAAATATTATAATAAACTATCTATTTAAGTTTATTGTCAATAAAAAATTTCCACATAAATATTACTTTGGTGTTTACAAATTGGGAAGTTTACGTCAATAACAATTTCTCACGTAAATCTTATTTTGAACTCATTTGTTGGTAAGATTACATCTAAGAATAAATT